AATTCGGGCAGCCGCTGGCCCCGGCCCCGCCGCTCCCGGCAGGGCGGCTCCGGCTCCGGCGCCGCTTTGCATCCCAGCGCCGGCAGCTCCGGCCCCGGCCCCCGCACTTACTTCTCCAGGAGCGTGAGGGCCGTGCTGGGGTTGACCCGCAGATACTTGGAGGTGGCCTGCCCGTAGTCAGCCAGGTAGGTGGACCAGTCCCACACCATGAAGAGGTCCAGGAGCTGCGGGGGGGAGAGAGGGATGAGGGAGTGTGGGGCGGCTCTGCAGAGAGGCCGGGCGCAGCCCCTCGCCGAGCCCGGCCAACACTCCCCCTTCACCTGCCCATCTCCTTCTTTAATGTCTCTCACCTCCCACAGTGTGCAGGCAGGCGGCTGTGCAGGTTCGGACCCAAGAGGGAAAGAATGGCTTCACGTTTTAGTATTTGGGAACTTGCTTTACCGTGGGGAGCAAGACAGGGATGCTCCTGTCTGTTGCTTCTCACAGTAATTTAAATGAGAGGTTCAGGTAGTCTCAACTAAGTGAATTAACCACCTCCTGGCTGCACTCTCCATTGCGACTGATCCCTGAAACTCAGCGCCAAGCCCGGGGCACACTTCTGGCCCAAACAAACCCAATCACTTCAGTGGAGGAACAAAAAGTCTCCAAGCACAGTCCTACGCTTGGCTGCAGTTTCAAATCAGGTCTTTGACTCATGCTCTCAGAGCTGCTGTTCAACAAAAAAACAGCCTGCTTTTACAATCAGACGCAATGCCGAACCTCCAGCAGCCAGCACCCTCACAGCCCTCAGAGCCTAATTCCCCCTCCACCATCACGGGGTGCAGGCCAGGCACCGCTGGGCACCCTGCCCAGGCTGCCAGGGGCCAGGGCACAGGCAGCCCCGCTCGGGGATGCCTTTCCCACGGCTACCTGCGGCCCAGCGGGCCCCACTGCCATTGACGTCAATGGCGGGGCGCCCCAGCTTCCCCCTGCGTCTGGTGCCGGGCCTTGTCCTGCTGCTGAGGGCTAACGAGGGCTTGTTCTCAGGCTGCCCCGTGTTAGCCAAACCCACTGTTAAAATAAGCGTTGGGAACCATTAACAACACTTTGCCCCAGCGTGTAGTGCCTGTGGCTGCTCCACTGAGCTGGGTCCTCAGTGTAACCTAGAGCCCTGCTTGCCTGCAGAGCTGCTGAATCAGTAATGCTGGAAAGGTGGGCTGCAACGGGATTTTGTGTAACAAAACCACTTAAAAAAATGTAACAGAATACTGCAAGTCACACCATTTTGCTATTTCAAGGAAGAACCCTGTTCACTTCAACCACTTGCTTCTATTAAGCCAGACCAGAGCTGTTATAGCTGGGACACAAAAGTAGCAGCCCCTACTCCCACAGGCAGACCTGCAGCAGGCACCCGCTCCTCTCACTTCTCAGGCTACACTAAGAGGAGGACTGCACCCCAGAGAACCTTGCCTTCCTCAAACTTCTCAGCCCAATAAACCATCAGAGATGTCCAGCAATGCTCGTGACCAGAATTATAACAATATAATAATAACAATCAATTTATTTACAGAATAAAAGGATACATCCCATCCTCCCAGGTTCAAATTTCTATGCCTCCCTTTTGCAAATTTTTCCACTTCCAAACCACTCTATAATGTTACTTTCAAATACAGTGTCTAATTTAAATACATAATTTTCTAATTAATTACTCTTTCCTTATTTGTAGTGTAGTCTTTTAGGACTAGGTAGCAGCATTTCCTGGTATTATAATGGACCTCTGACACACCTACTGCTCGGTCATCCCAAAGACCTTCAGGGACCCTTACAAACCTCAGTGACATTTACATTTTACATTTAACTATCTCAAAGGGGTGAAAGGATCTAAAACCCAAGGAGGCTATTTCATTCTCTGCTGACCAGATATCCATGATAACCACCAAGGTCAAATTCAAATGGTTCTTTCCCACAAAGCCCTTTCTCAAGATGGACACCACAAATTTTACTGAGTTGCTGAGAACATGCCTTCAGTCACCAAGCAAACAGACTTGGGAAGGCTTGACAACTCAGAAATTAGCATCAGTTGTGAAACTCACAGCCTCAGTTGCTACTGTGTATTACTCATCACTTGTTATTACCTGTGTAACACAGTTTGTGGTGCCCAGTGCTCACAGAGGTATTTTAAAGCACAACCAAAAGAGTGGAAAGATAGGACAGGCACATACAAAAGACAAGCTGTGAGGACAAAGCTGGCAGGAACCCAAACTATATAATCTGGTCATTACTACCTTACTGCTACTTACAGTGCTACTTGTCATGGGCTCCACATGGGACATGGTCCTTAAGGATCGACCAACGTTCCTGCAGTTGTATTCAGTGAGTCTGAGGTGAAAGATTTCATTTCTTACCCCTATTGTACTACTGAAATTGAGGATTCTGGGTAAATCCAAAACAACCCTGAAGCTCATATGGGTGAAAGGTATCTAAAGGTATCCTGCTAGCAATGTGTGGCCCAAAACCATTGACAACTGTCAGTGCTGACAAGTTCAAAGAAACTTCCCTGACAATACTTCATGAGTGAGTTTCATACGATGCTTTCAATGGTTGACTCAACTGATTGTGCCATGGCTCTGGGAAATCTCTGTCATAGTGATTGCTCTAAGATTACATCTCATTTGTCATCTGGCCAAACATAGGAAGCATGTAGGGCTCTAAACAGACCATGCAGTCTGTTGTTTTTTAACAGGAGTTAAAAAAATGTCACACAGAACATGAAGTATATTCTGTGCACTCCCAGACAGTCCTGGCCCTAAAGAATGAACACCCAAAGAGATTGGCAAGGGGGATGTACCCAGAGCTTCTTCCCTGCACCATGCATGGTCAAAGAGCTGCACACAACCAACCTCATGTTAATAAATCTCTTAAGTTCAAGCAGCTGTCATGACATGCAGCAGGTAGCTCAAAGGCTCAGACATGCAATCAAATGACACATGCCACTCAGTCACAGCCCCTTCCCTCCTTCTGTGCATTTGCTCAGGAGCTGCAGTGTGACAATCATGTCCTGATTCTGGATTAAATGTGTCAGGGAGCTGCAGACACTGCTGGAGACCAGACTGCTGCTGTGCATGACTATGCATTGTGCATTTTGTCCCACTCACAGCTGCAGTTCTGCACTGTTGCATACTGCCGTATGCAGTGGGCTTTGACAGCAGGTACTGCATGCTGTGGGTGCAGCACTTGGGATCTGTGTCCTGGCCATTCCTATCACCTGCATCTGCCCTGGCACCCAGGCTCGGTGGGTGCACAGCCAATACAGGCGCTTTGTGAGGGGATAAAGTTGGCAAGCAGCCAGTGGCAGAGAGGACAGTCTAGCAAAAATGACTCACTGGCCCCAGGACCACCACATGGGTGGGAAATAACTTCAACCCATTCATGCAAAGCTTCACTTGAGCACAACACAACACTGAATTCACCTTCAATCCTGCAGCAACAATGCAGAGGTGCTACTCACCAATCTGTTCCACTTTCTGCTGCTCTGCTCCTTTCTGATTTACACCATCTTTTGCTACACAAATGTGTGCCCCATTTAAATTAATAATTTTAATTCCTCTCCCTGATATAGAAAAAGTGGGACTGTCTTGGCCACAGGCATGTGATGTATATGAAGCACAGGACAGTTTGCTCGTTCTGTGGCAGTAGTTTTTACTGCAGCATCTAGGATCAAAAATTATTAAAGGCCAAGTTAAAGAAACATTTCCCTCCTACTACTTTATCTATTACAGCTTTCACTATAAATGAGACAATAACTGAAAATGAGATGTATTGTCTAACAAGAAATGCTCCACACTGGCATACACTGTCAAAAGATAAATGCGGGCAAACAGTAGGTCCTGGCAGTAAGTATTTCCCAGCCTCCAAAAACAGTCAATGGCCATAGAATGTATCACACCATACTGGTGCACCTGGCTGCGACTCTTTCAAGGTTAGACTGTGCACAGCTTGCCTTGAAATTACAATAGGAAAACTGTTTATTTTGCACATTCATCTTTCCTAAGTTAACACATATGGAAAAAACTTCAGACAGAAAGGCAGTCTCCCTCACTACTCAGTCTGGAGGCAGCACAGCCCATTCTGGCTGTTAGAAAGCTACTCAGCCCCCACCTAAGGAGCCACCCAAGGGTGTTCAGTCAGAACTAGCTTATCATGCAGCCAAAACACTGTAAAGCACCAAATAAACGAAATATATGTACTCTGCTACCCAAGAACAATGGCACGGCTGTGCTCTTTATCCCATAATAACCATGAAAAATAAGAGTAAGCTCAGACAGGCAATACTATACCTGAGTATTTTATAATGAAGCTGAATATGCTTCCCTAGGAGCAAGGAGCAATTATTCCCTTCTGACTAGGAACAATTTGCAGAGATGTGAGAGATGTGCGTGTGTCTGAGTCATTATGTAAAAAAAAAAAAACAACCAAAAAACAGAACAGCAAAAAAACCCAAAACAACAAGCTTTAGCCTTTCCTGCTTTCCTGTACACCATACAGAACATCCTATATATTGTCAACTTACTTACATTTACACGATAACAGTCTACACTTCCACCTTATTTAGAGGATTTTGCCTCTTCTAAAAGTGTGATATATGGGGAAGCTATAGCCAACATCTTGGAACCATCAAAGCTGGTGATCAGAGAGCAGTATGTTTCTTTGACTGTACATGCAACAGTGTTGCTTTCCCAAACCATTACATTATTAGTCACATACATACTTCTAACATTATAGGTAACTTAAGCCTCTGGTTGCTGCACTGCACTTTTATTTTGAATTATGCTCTACAGTGCTTTGATTTTGTAATTTTCTCTTCATGTGCAGGTATTTTCTAAATGCCTTTTATGTCTAACATTAGGTCTCTCTGTAGAAACAAACATCACTTGGAAAAGGTAATGTTTATATGTACTTATGTAAAAGTTTATAGTAATTTCTGACATTATACAGACAACACTGCTATTTTTAATTTGAAGACTTATTTTAAAAGATACTAAGCTATGTTTTTGTAAAAGACCTCCTACTGTAAGACCTTGCAAGCTAACACA